ATTAATTTAAGGGCCCTACTGTCGGAATGGTGGTAGGTGGCTGATGGTGAGGGCAAGTAGGGTTTGTAGGAGCAAAGGTTGCAAAAAATGGGCGATAGAAAGAGCCCAAAGAGATGTTGGTCGGGGGCAGGGAAAATACCAAAAAATGACCAAACAACATTTATCTCTTTATCTCTGTTCTTCGGCTTTGACACAGGGTGACCAGGGAAAATGTGGGTTCTTAGACATATGAAGCTCAAAGAATGAAATTCTCGTTAATGGGGTTCGTGGGTGTTGGGTATTCAAGCCAACAATGGTTGTCGTCGAACAGCCGGAGGCAATAACGGAAACCAACATCATTACCCCTTCGTTCTTCGAGGACGAACCCAGCAAGATCACCGCCATTACCAAATCCAGCAACAATAGGATGAGTTTGCTCTCTTCTATGATGGAAAACAATGGAGAGGGATTCTAAGCAACAACAAGAATGTTGCAGCTTCTCCTGTCCCTGTCAAGGAAATTGAAATCCTCATTTCTCACCGTCGGATTGTTCCTAAACGTCGCACAAACACATCCTCCCTAGCGGGCGGACAAGGACGAGGAAGAAGAAAGACCTGACGGAGTTGGGATCGGAATCAGTGCAAGCGAGGTAAGCTTCTCCTCCCCAAAACGAACGTCTTGGATTAATGGGTTAGTTGTCTGAGTCGGTGGAGACCCATAGAAAAACGGGAGCGATGAGGCCGCCTGAGCTGCATATTTATATTTTATCTTTTGCTAGGTGCTCTGTGATTGAGTCGATGAGTTGTTGTAGGGCTTGAATACCCTAGTTGGATTTTCTGAGGTCTGATCAAGTCGTTGATGGCATGATTCAGGAGGTCGAGTCTGTGAGATTTGGAGCAAATGACGTGGAAGAAGGAGAGAGAGAGAGAGGAGGTGGAGGGGGCTATCACTGCCGGTTAAGGACCGAGCTAGCTCGGTTTGCCACTGGTGAAAGGAAGAAGAGGATAAGGGTAAAATTGGGTTTAAAATATATATATCACGTGTGTATAAGTTTTGACGGAATATTAACGAACCTTAACAGTAAGGATGGAGCTAATCAATTATCAAAAGCAATAGTGGTACCGTTAGACAATAGTTAAACAGTAAGGGTATACTTAGTCAATTTCGCAAATAGTAGGGGTAGTTTAAGAAATTTACCCAACAAAAAACTACTTATCCTCTATCTTCAAGATAAAAGATTTAAGAGTAGATACCATCTTGGAAATAAAAGTTAGAAAGCATAGTAGGGGTTATGTATTAAGCCAATCACATTATATTGAGAGAATACTTGAGAAATTTAAGCATTTAGGGTTTAAAGAATATAGCACACCATATGACTCTAGCATAAAACTAGTAGAAAATTCTGGTAGAGCAATTGCACAACTTGAGTATGGTAGTGCAGTAGGAAGTCTGATGTATGCTATGCTTTGTGCTACACCTAATATTGCATTTGCAATAAGTAAACTTATTCGGTTTACAAATAATCCCGGTGCAGAGCATTGAAAGGTAATTGGAAGAGTTCTTGGGTACTTCAAAAGGACCTTGGAATTTGGTCTATTCTACTGCAATTATCTAGTTGTACAAGAAGGGTACGTTGATTTGAGTTGGATTACTGGTAATGGAGATAACGAGTCCACCTCTGGATGGATTTTCATCATTGGTGGGGATGCAATCTTTTGGGCATCCAAGAGACAAACTTGTATCTCACTCGACCATGGAATCCGAATTCATAGCATTGACAACTGTTGAAAAAGAGGCTGAATGGATTAAGAATTTATTATTGGATATAAAACGTTGGCCTAGTCCTATGCCTCAAATTTCCATTTGTTGTGATACTAAAGCAACTCTATCGAGAACCTAAAGTAGTACTTAAATGGTAAGTCTCAAACATATAAGTATGAGACATGAATTTGTTAAGCAACTGATTTAAGATGGAGTAATCACTACAACTTATGTAAAGTCAAGTAAAAGTTTGGTTGATCCTCTTACCAAAGGTTTGCCCAAAGAATTGGTAAGAATGACAAATAAAGAAATGGGATTAAAACCCTTACTTAGCCACTAGTAATAGTTACCCGACCTGAATTGAAAACATCAGTATTAGGTTTAATGGGTAACAACAAGTTACTGCGATGTAATTGTTAGCACTAACATTGAGAAACTTCCTATTGCAACATAAATAATGTTGTCTGTTACGATAAGAGATTGAGTTAAACTTTTAATGAAGTTCTGAAATGTGTCAAATAATGAAACAATTGGTGGAACTTCACCTATGTAAACATAGAAGTAGTGTCTTTTCTCATGAGAGTTTGAGTTTTCTCCCAAGATTATTCATGAAATTAGGAAAGAAACACATGGCCATAACAGTGTTGAGCAAAATTTGAAATTATTGCAGAAACATGACATTTTATGCATATGAGTATCTCCGGTTTGTCTTAAGAGTAATTGGTTTAAGGTCTTACTACCAATAACTTTGACAAGACTCTAAGATATTTGTACTAATAGATGATTTAAGTTATAAAACACCTTTTATATGCATAACTATGTCATAACAGTTTTGATTAGCGAGACCTTAGATTAAAATCAGTTTTCAACTTGTCCCACATTGTACATATGACTTGAAAAATAGTTTTTTTTCTTACTAAAACTAGTTTTCAACTTGTCCCATATTGAAAAATTATTAAACTTGTTTTAAGTTTTTAAAGATGAACTTATTTACACTCCTTAGAAATATAAGAGTAGAATATAGAGGCTTGCTACTGCACAATGTGCACATGTGTGTGTATGTGTGTGTGCGGCACAATGAGGCACTTTAGATGTGCACTTTGCTCACACCCGTGTGGTTCGTGTAAGGCGACTTTGACTTTTGGTGCGAGGCTAACAGTTGATGATTTCAATAGTCATGGTCCGATCGAGTGTGATCAATAGACACTAATCAAATTTAACGGTCATTAACTGTTAACTACCTCTTAATAGTCACAATGTTTGAAATTGTGATTGTTCAAAGAGTCTTTTCTGAACCAGCACCTTCCTCTTCTTCATAACTCTTCATAAACTATTTAAGGAATGTGAATCAAGCAATTGAACACAGGGTTTTCAAAAATCACTCTTGGTTATCTCAGTTCGATATGCTACTGTCTCACAGAAGATTTCTTCGAAGATTCTTCAACTTTGCTGGTTGTAGATTCTCGCCCAAGGCTCTATTATACCCTAGGAACGAATTTGCTTGTAACCCAACAACAAACTCAATAAAACTAAATGGGGGCAAATAACATTCTAAAGACAATATCTTCAAACACACTTTAGAGTGCTTATCCTCTAAGTTTTCGTGACCCCAATTCCCAACACCCCTTATCTAAACCAATTCAGAGAATTGGCCTTGGTTGTCATTGGTAGAACCAACCTTGGTTGACCTTGGTGGACTTGGCATTGGAACCAAACTTGACTTGAAATAAATTACAAAATACTTTGAAGACATGTATTTGAACCTAAGCACTCATAGCTATAAAGACCATGGTCTCACTTGACCATTGAGCCACTTAAGTGATTTGATCATTTTTCTTCAATTTAATATTTGAGTATGTATAATAAATAACATGAAAGATAATATTTATAAATTTTCAATTTTAATGATAAGTTTTAAACCATATGTTAATATGTTATGATAATTTACAAATTAAATTACTCAAAATAATCAGCAAAGATAATATATTCGATTCTATCTTGGAACTAAACCAAAATGACCTCCTCACCCCTACGGATTAGTAAGGCCTCCTAATGGTTGTATTGGAGACTTGGCATCAAATCCAACCGACACCAAGGTTGGGGGCTTTATGGGTTTGGAGTAGGGATATTGATGGGTTGGGTTAAATGGTAAATCCACCTTGACCCGACCCTTGGGTTAGGGTTTTGATTATTTGACCCGAGTTGGGTTCGGGTTTTGGCTGACCCGTTCCGTTGGGTCATGGTACCCTACATCTATACCAAGTATTCTTGCAATTTTTGTGATTCCTAACTTTATAGGCTTTAAAGTTTATAATTTATTTACATGTTGATTTTGATTTTCTTCTTTTTTAAATGGAAAAAGTAACACCTTAGGATCTATAAAATAATTTCCTAATTTAAATTAATGTATTTTAGGTTTTCAAAATGTGTTTAAAAACATATTTGAAGTTATACGGGGTGAGTCGGGTTGGAATCAGGGTAAACCCTATAGGATTGGATCAGGTTCGGGAATTATGTATTTTTAGCCGGGTTAGGTTGGGTCAGGGTTGAGGCAGACCCGTACCAAACCCGACCCGTTGACATCCATAGTTTGGAGGATGGGTTATCCCATGTTGTCCAGCCCCATGGAGCTTAGAATCTTCAGCCGGCACTCCCAATTCCCAAACGGGCCCTGTATGATCACGTGATACAGCGAAGGCGGGTGGCAGACTCTGAAGTCGACCTCCCATTTTATCGCATCCGAAAGCATTTATATTCTTATTCTTTTTATCTCTTATGCTGTCATGGGTTGCACACCATGCTGTTCAGGGTTATACGGGCGGAATTTCCTTATGCTGTCATGGGTTGCACATCATGCTGTTCAGGGTTATACAGGTGGAATTTCCGTAACGATAAAAGTAAAAGGTGCAAAAAAGGACAAAAGAAGGGGAGGAAAGGTTCAAAGTATCGATTCGTATCTATCGGTACTTAGAAACGGCCGAAATTTTATATTATTTTTAGTTTTTTTACATTTTAATTTTTTGAAAAACTTTTAACATGTTTTTTATTATTAAAAAAATTGGGATCCGAAACACCTGGAAACAAGCGTTTCGGACCGTATCTTTTTCAAAAGATACGATACAATACGCCCCACTTTGAACCGTAGAAGCTGAGTGGACTGACCATGGATACACAGTGAAAGAGCAGTGGAGGAAGGAGGAGATGCTCCCACTAACTAACGCCGTAACGCGAACCTTCTTCCCGTTTCCTATTTATATATTCTTCTTATTACTTTCACATGGTCAAAGGCAAAGCAACTTGCCCAGAAGCAGCTTTCCAAGCAGTCGTAATGCGTTCTTCCTTTCTGCTCACGCGCCTGCCTTTCTCGTCAAGCAACTCGTCTCCAAAACCCCAAGTCCGCCTACAACCGTATCTCCTTTCGTACCATCCATTTAACCTGTCTTCAGACATTCTTCTATATACCAATTCGAAGCTCGACGCATTACAATATATAATACAGGAGATATGATCCTCCCTGCTGTGAAGCTTGGAACGCTAGTCTTGAAGACTGTCTGTAAACCCATAGCGACTAGGCTCAAGAAAGAGGCCGGCTTACACCCCAGGTTCCGCCAGTTGATCATCAACTTTGCTCAGGTTCGCTTTGATTTCTTCACCCCCACCCCCCTTTTCTGTTTGCTTCTTTCACATTTGTGGTTGAGATCTGTTTTAAGTTTTAACCTATTTAATATTTGTACGTCGTTTCTTGTTAATTCTTGACTGGTATTTTGTTTGACTTTTATGATTGTGGGTATTAGCTTCTGGAGGGATTCTGTTGGGTGATTTAGTCCATTTTACTTGCCCATTTTTGTTTTTCCCTTTTCCTTGTTGAGCTGTTATTGATATGGATGCGGCATCTTCTGAATTGATTGGAGCAGTAGCTCTTTAACTCTAAAATACTAAGTTTGAATGTTTTTCTTCAGGAAAGTTATGGAACTCTGGAATATGGAGAGATTAAAGATCAGGAATCTCATTTATTTATTTCGTTCTATTTATATGCAATTTTCTTCAACCTGTTTCTAATGTTTATGTGAAAAAAATGGTTTCTATGGCTTTCTATTTCATTGATTTGTAATTTGCATGGGCTTATTATGTAACCTAAGAATTTATTGGATATCATGTTGAGACAAGATTCTTCAGAAAAAGATGAAAGGTGTCTAGAAGAACAGAAATTTATTAAGGACTAAGGCTGAGTTGAGTTGAGTTATAACAATAAAGAGCGTGATGTTCTTGTAGTACCAGTTGCTGAGAGCGGATGAAATGTTGTGCCATCTTATAAAAACATGCTCCACATGTGCACGCTTTTAAATATTGAGAGCTGCTTGTGAGACTTAAGCCGTAGGCAGTTGGGCCTTGGAGGTCTTGGTACCTTGCTTCATGCCTCCATGTTTATAAACATTGAGAGATGCTACAGTAATATAAAAAGAAAAAAAAAATTACATGTGTGGTATATCAAATCATGGGTATGCTCATGGTTGTCAAGGCAGCAAGGCAAAGTTAGGTGACAGGAGAGCACCTAGATGCCTAGGTGATGGATTAAAAAACACTAAATACTAGGCAAGGTTAAAAGTATCGATACACCCGATATGCATGAACAGGCATATCGGGTGCTTCAATACATAAAAAAACACCTTTTCTTTAGTTTTTTTTTTTTTTTTTTCAAAATTGGTCAGGGGGTCAGTCTTAAGCCTGCCTACACCCTGAAAATGCCCAAATTTCCCAAACCCCCTTTATTTCCTGTATTGGAGCCCCAATAATCTTCATTATTATAAACTTCATATCAAAACATAGAAAATCAACATATTCACAAGAAGGAGAAGAAACAGAACCCCCTTTTTGCCCTAGAAAAAAGGGGGAAGGTTGTGGAAAACTTAGAAAATGAAAAGAATATTATCCTAGAAAAAGGAAAGGAAAAAACTCGGAAAATGAAAAGCAAAAGGCATACCTTGGTCTCTAGTTGGTCATGTGTGTTGACCAGATAAAATCTTCAAGTTCTTCCTTGCTTATTGGTTCAGGTTTTCAAGTATTCAAGAGTTCAATACAATGTCCTTTGACTTCTGTGCTGATCAAACCAAAGCTAGTATATGAACTATGCAAATATTAAAACCCACAAAAACTGAGTGGAGTTGTTTTACACTGCCAGTCTGAAAGCCTGGATAAAGGAAGGTTGCATCAGGTTGGCAGCCAGCACTAAAAACAGAAGAAGAGCGGAAATCTAAAATCATTGACGGAAAGGTAAATGCCACATTCATTTCCCTTATTCAGAAGAAGAGCAGGGCAGTGGATATAAAAGATTTCAGGCCGATAAGCCTAATAAATAGTCCATATAAACTACTGGCAAAGGTGCTGGCAAGCAGACTAAAAAAGGTGGTTCAGGAGGTGGTAGGGGAATCTCAGATAGCATTTGTAGAAGGGAGGCGAATTCTGGATGGAGTACTAGTGGCAAGTGAATGTATTGACTCAAGATTAAAAGTGGCAGGCCGGGATTAGTGTGCAAGTTAGATATAGAGAAGGCCTACGACCACGTGGAGTGGGGATTTTTGGAAGAGATGCAAAGATGGATGGGCTTCGGGGAGAGATGGAGGGGATGGATGTATGGATGCATGTCATCAGCTTCCTTTTCAATATTGATTAATGGAGTGTCAACTGAATTCTTCCAAGCTTCCGGAGGGTTGAGGCAAGGGGATCCAATCTCCCCCTTGCTGTTTGTAATAGTAGTGGAAGCATTAAACCTCTTGATGAAGGGAGTCTAAAGGGGTTGGATAGAAGGTTTTAAACTAGGAGCAGAAGGCCCATGTATCTCTCACCTTCAATATGCGGACGACACATTAATATTTTTAGATTCTTCAGCAATCCAAATCTTGAACCTAAGAGCCATCCTTGCCAAATTTGAGATGTTGACTGGGTTGAAAGTGAACCTAGAAAAAAGCTCTTTGATAGGGGTGGGAGATATAAATAGGGAGGAGATGGAGCAACCTGCAGTGGTATTAGGCTTCCAGTGGGGTCTAGTACAACAGAGGGTAATATATGGAAGCCCCTTATAGAGAGAGTTGAGAGGAGATTAGACAGATGGAAAGCTAAATATCTCTCCTTGGGAGGTAAAATTACACTTATAAGAAGTATTCTCTCTTGTCTACCAACATACTATCTCTCATTGCTGAAGGTTCCTAAGGACGTGGCTGTGAAAATTGAGAAGATTCAGAGGAATTTTCTTTGGGAAGGGTTGGGGGGGTCCAAAAAGTTCCACCTGGTCAAGTGGGAAACGGTGTGCAGATTAAAGGA